AGGGGAACAGGCTGGGCTGTCCATGGCCAGTCCAGGGTCTGGCTCCAGGCATGTCCCTGGCCCAGAGCACCCACAGCTGAGAGGTGGCACCAAGACAGTCGCAGTCAGGGCAACGGAGGTGTATTTAATAATGGTGCAGGGAGGAGGAAAGGTCTGGTGTGCTATTTGCCAGCTGGGAACAGCAGGCATGGGCATCCCAAAGGCAGCTTTAAATGGCCCCAATTCCACCAGTTTTGCTAGAATCAGACTGGAAGGGAGAGCTGGAGCTGGCCACTGCTGGGACAGGTTGCAGCAAGATCCAGGGTGCGTTTGGAAGGGGAACAGGAGACAGGAGCGTGCGGAGCAGCTCACCCAGAGACATGGGACCTGCAGAGCCACTGCCTGCACCTCCCATGGCCAGAGCTGGGGTGACCTCCTGGTGCAGAAATTGAACAGCAGGGAAATGAGAGACTCCCTTTTGACCCTGAGTCAGGGTGTTTTCCTTCCAGGAGGCACAGGGAAGATATTAGCGATGAAGGTGATCTCATTTCACAAACACCAGCCACCTCGGTGGCTGGCAGTTAATGCTCGAGCCCTGCAGGGTATCCACACCAGCCTGGCAACATTCCCTCTGGGTCTCAGAGAGTCATTCTGAGGGCCACAGAAAATGAAATATATGTCAGAAGCAGCTCACACAGGCATGTGTGTGTACTCTAGCCATACAGCTCCGTCGCAGATTCGCCCACCTGCAGTCAGAAGAATGAGACATTTAGGTCACTCTCTCAGTTCTGAGTAAATAGCACGTTTAGCTCTCACCAGAGCACATTCCCAAAGGCAAACAGGGCTGGGGCTCGCCAGCGCCGAGGACCTGAGGGGAGCCACGTGAGAGCGGGTGGTCCTGTGGGCCAGGCACCCAATGGCCCTTCCAGGTCCTGTGATGCTCCATGCTCGGGCACCATGTCCGTGTTTTAACAGACAGACACCGCTTTGGGTGGGATTATCTGAAGAAAATTAAGGGCTGGGCTGTATGTGGCATGGAGCTGGGGTGTTGTCACCTTGCTAGAGCCCAGCCAGGGCAGCATTGCCTGGGAGAGGTGCAGGGGCGGGCATGAGGTGAAACAGCCATCTCCCTCCTGGAGTGCAGAGGGGGAAGGAGAAGGGGCCGATGCCCAGCCCATTCAGTGGGAGGAGGGAAAAGCTAAAGTAGTTCTCTAATTAGCTAATCAAGGGGTGTCTTTGAGAATGCTCCCATGAAGGGAGCAAGTGTGGGTGCAATAGGGGCTGCGTGCGATGCCGTGTGCTGGGGACACGATGCAGGTTTGGGAAGATGTTCTCCAACGAGGCTTTTGCCTGGTCCCGTTGGAGTGCACGGGCTCTGCCTCCCCCTGGCTTGCCGTCCCTCCTCCCAGCACTGTCTCTGTGTTGCCCTAAAGTTTTTGCAGAGAGGATTTTGTCAATAAACTTATTAATCCATTACCTGTGACTTGGCTCAGGAATATCTAGCGTAAACTGGGGAAGTACTAACTTTTATCGGATTTTTTGGCTGAACTATTTACAGATAACATTACCTCTCCCAGCAAAGCCTCTGTCCTGGCTCCCACTCCTGTACCCACCTCCGTCCACCAGCCCAGCCCATGGGGGTCTGCAGGAAAGAGGATGCCCATCCGGGGCAACTCAGAGCCCTGCAGCTCCCACTGGGTTTCAGGGAGGAGGAGAGCTACAACACATGGAGGAGCTCCCCTGAAACCAGAGTTTTCTGAGCCATCCATGGCCTCTGCCTGGGCACAGCCCCATCCTGCAGCTCTGCCTCAAGCCGTTCCAGGCCTTCGGCACCCAGACGAGTTGTCTGCCCAAAGAAGGTGCTGGTGAAACTGGTTCTCCTGTTTGCACATCCACGTGTTCTCCCAAGAGGAAGGTGGATGCTCAGGACCCCAAAAGGTGGATGAATGGCTCCAGTGGATGGGGGATGTCTCCTGGCCACACTCACAGCTACAAGGTGTATGGCTGCTGTGCAGGGAATGGACACATCTGCCCATGTTGAAAGGCATTGGTGCACCACAAATACTGTTTTCATGGCAAGCAAAGCACCATCAGGTGTGGTTGCCCATGCTCTGCTCAGTGGTGTTCATAGGGCACCCTCACCAGCTTGGCCTAGACCTCCAACTCTTTGGGCTGTGTCCATCTCTGGAGCAGGGCTGAGTCCGATTCTGCCATCCTGGCTAGGACATGGTGGCTGAGGGCTCCTGCAGCTCCAGAGCACCAGGGCTGCTCCAGGGCCCCCCTAGAGTAAACACAGCTCCTTGAGGGACCAGATCCCTGAGGTGGGGCCACAGATCATGGGTGGGACCATGAGGCTGTGCGTCCCTGTGATGGCACACATCCCTGCCTTCCTGAGAGCATTGTCCCACTCACCATATTCATGAGGGGTCCATTGCTCTCAGAAGCTGTGGTGGTGGACCTGGAAGCATTGCAAAGCTTGCATGTGATGTGTGGCCCCAGCTGCACCTCAGTTCCCTACTGGAACAAGCTCCAGGCTGGTTGCAGACCTGGGACACTCCTGTCCATTCCTTCTTTGGCAGCCCAGGATACCCTGCCCTGCATTGTGGCCAGTCGCTGCTGTGTCCGCTTAGTCCCAGCAAGATCTGTCTTTCACTGCCCTTGTGCTCATGTGGACCAGGGCTGTTCCCAGCTGGGCTTGCCCCAGGCTGGTGGCAGCAGATTTGCCAAAGGGCTGAGCCTGGCAAAGAGACCCACATTCCTGGGAACAGAGACAGCAACAGCAGCTCAGACAGTCCGACTGCCTGGGATGAGGGGATGGGTCACCACAAGCTGCAGGAAATCACAGCTCCCTCCCAGCTGGGAAATCATTACCTGTTCTCATGTGAGAGACAATTAAGATATTGTCACATAACCTCTGGAACTATTTCTTTACTGCAGAAGGATTGGGAAAAGTAAACTGAGCAGTTACTCAGCCCAGGTTTGGAGGCAGAAGCCAGAGGATTTGGTCGGCTCTGGATGCACACAGCCACCGCACAGTGCCACATGTCCTGTGGGGGGCCCCCTGCATGGGGCCAAGTCCCCCTTGCTCAGGACAGCCCTGGCCCAGCTACCGTACAGCCAGTGGGGGATTTCCAGACCTGGGAAACTCCAGACACTCATTCATTCCCTTCCAAAGGGAGTCCAAAGCTTATGTGTTGTGTGGAGGTGGGAATGCAGAAGTGGTGGCACCCTCTGGGCCCGGGCACCCACCCCACCAGCACACGAGCCAATCACTGCAAAGGAGATTGCCATGGGAAGAGGGACTGGCTGGGGGTCTGAGCACCGGCTGGCTGGCAGCAAGGTACAGCACAGGCACCCAGCTCGGTGCAAGCTGCAGAGAGCTGTGGCCTGAGACAGAGAGCACCTGGGGCCTGCTGCACCCCCGATTTCACAGGGTGCACACAGCAGGAGCTCTGAAATCACAACCCCTACAGCCACAGGGAAAGGTGCTCCAGGAAGATCGCATGCAATGAGGCCATGAGATAAGGCAGGTGGAAACTGAATCTTTCCATCCCAGCCACCCTTGAGATAGCCCTGGCTGCCTCTTATCAGGCAGCTGAATCAGCAGGGAGCAGCTCTGCTCTATCGCCCAGAGGGAGCAGGTCCCCACCAGCCCTCCCCATCCCATGGCAGGGGTGCCGGGGCTCTGTGGCTGGGGTGTGATACCTGCTGAGCCTTGAACGCATGCCCAGAAGGATGGGAGGCTGGGGGCTGTGAGGACCTGATCCCTCCCCACTCCCCTGGTTCGCCTTAGGGTCCCCGTGCCTGCAGGGACCCCCAGCCCAGGAGCAGCTCAACGTGGGGTCGCACACAGGGAAGGGGTGACCGCAGTCCCAGCTGGGCCATGACGATGTCTTGGCCCTTGTGGCCTCTCCTATCTCCCCAGGCAAAGCTCTGAGCATTGCCAAATTCCCGCCCCCCCCACCCCCCGCACCCAGCAGAGCCATCCTCCTCTGATGTGATTTTCCTTCTCACTGCAATAAAACTTATTATCAAGGCACCTACCACTCTGTGTGTGATTTCAGGGCACTGGACACTGGGAATATCACTCTCACCTCTTATAGACCGTGTAGAGACTCGTAATGAAAACGTTAAGGCTGGTGAGAGCAAAGAGAGAACAAAAATGTGTGAGTGTGTGAAAGCACAAAGGAGCAGGGGGACAAGGGTTAAAAGGCGAGGTGTGTGCCAGCTGCTGCAGGGGTCCGACCTATGATTTCATTCAAATGGGAAGGAGGAACTAACTGGCAGAAGATAAGGTGTCAGAAAGATGCTGAACTGAGTCATAAATGCGCCTGTAAGACAAACAAGGAAACAGATATTCAAGAATTTTGCCTAAGGCTGATGAGGTCTGAGATAATGGGGAAAAGATTTTCAAGCAGTATCCATTTCCAAAGAATATAAAAGGCAAGTCCAAGCCAGGTTTGCGGCCAGCAGCGGAGGAGCCTGGTGCCACAGCAAGGACTCTCAAGCCAGCTCCAGGCAATCCCACCTGGGTGCTGCTGGGTGCAGGGGTCTGGGAGCGCCAGCAGGTGAGCTGACCTTGCTTACATCTTGTGAAATAAAATCTCCTTCCCTTTCTACAATATCTCACATTGTGGGTTTGGTTTTGGGTTTTTTTTTTCCAGTTTCCCATGCTCTCCTCTGTTTGGTGCAGTGTTTCTTTTGCTCCTCCTGGACCTCATCCTTCCCAGTGAGCCGAGCAGGAGTGGGTGTGGGACCTGTGGCACGGTTGCAATCTCATCACACTGTGCCAGGCTGCTGGGCAACCAACCCTCTTTCCTCTGGCCCCCCCTATTTTATCCTAATATTGCTTTTCCCAGGCAAAGATCCGGGCATCAACTAGAATTTCCAAGTTACATAGCCTGAGAGAGTGTCAGCGTGGGACAGCTTTCGGAGCTGATCTCCTTGCAGCTCCCGCTGACTGGCATTCCCAGATGGCCATGTCCAATGACCTTTTTGGGTTTGCAGGAGCCTTCACCACAATGTTCGCTAACAAGAAGCACTTCACCACTGCCATCATCGGGGCGCTGATCGGACTCTCCATCATTGCCCTTGTTCTCAGCCTGGTGAAGGTTGAAGATGTCACCCTGCCACCCACAGTCAAGGTGAGCCTGAAGGAGGGTCCCCAAGCACCACGGCAGAGGCCAGACACCTCGGGGACGTGCTCAGAGACAATGGCTTATCTTCAGGGTTAAGGACAACAGCTTATCTACAAGGTTAAGTTGAAAGGTGGTCAGTAGGAGCTGCCTTGCAGTAACTAGGTGGGTGTTTTCTCCCCATCTCAAGATGCAGGCAGAAGAAATACAGCCTGGCCACCTCAAAGTCAGGGGGGGAAGCCTCCTCTGAAACCAGCCTCCTTGCTATGCACTTGCCATGTTTCCAGACGACCTTGGGGCAGATGGGCAGGGGGAGGGCAGAGGCTTTGCAGCGGGGCAATGCACCTTCTCATAGCCACTGGTCCTGCCAGCTCCCGCCAGCGTGCCCTAACCTGCTCACAGCACAGCACAAGCGTCGTGGCTCCTCCTTGACCCTCCCCTGCAGCTTGGCATCCCAGCCTGGCTGCTGGAAAAGGGTTGGCACGGTTTTAGGGTGAGGTGGAGGGCTTTACAGGGGAGAGGCATGCAGCTGGGTCTCCCAGGCTGGGGCTGGCATGGCCCTGCTAGGCTGGGTGCAGCCAGGGGGGTAGCAGAGAGCACTTGGAGATGGGAGAGTTCCTGGCCCCAAGGTGGGGCCTGTGTAGACACAAAAGGTATGTAACCAAGAAAGAAAATTAAAAAAAAGCATGAGGAAACAACCAATAAAATGTTTGTGTGAGCTGGCATTGCTGCACAGACCTCAGAGAGGGATGGAAAAAGTTCCTCAGTTGCCGTGAGAAATGCCGAGGCCATGCAGTGTCACCGCTCTGCTCTGCCACGGGGCAGATAGCCCTGCCTTAGAGAGGTGGGGTTTGAGGCATCCTCTGGTCCCACACCCCTATGGCAGGGCCAGGGCCAGGCTGCTGCTCCTCCCACCAGCACGATGTCTTGTTTTTTCCTTCCAGTACGGGATGGTGTTTGATGCAGGCTCATCCCACACCTCTCTGTTTGTCTACGAGTGGGATTCAGACAAGGAGAACGACACCGGTGTGGTCAGCCAGACCTTGTCCTGTGATGTCCAGGGTCAGTATCCCCCTGCCATGGGCTCAGTGCTGCCCTGCGTGTCCGTGTGGCGAGTGGGATGGCCTGGCTCTCCCTCTCTTTGGGGAGTGCTGTCCATCAGGCTGGCACTGCTGGCACAGTGGGCAGCCCTGGCTGCAGGCAGGGTGGTCCCTGGCTCCCTGCTGGCTTTGCTCCGTGGTTGGAGGGCTCTCAGCACCCCATGCCCATGTGCTTGGTGGGACTGAAGCACCTTGGTATTGCTCTCCATTTCCATTCCTCCACCTTGGACTGCCAGTGGCCCAAGATGCTGTCCAGGCTGGAGAAGGTCTCATCCACAGAGCTGGGGACACTGCTGAAAGCATGGGAGATGTGGGGAAGCTATAGGAGAGGAACATAAGGAGCATGGGTCAATCAGGTCTTGGGGGACCAGGGGACCCTGGCAAAGCACCTTCTGTTGCTAAGAGGTGACAGACATCACTGCCACATGTCCTCTTGCCCCACATCTTTGTCCCCAACCGTTCTCCTAGCCTGTCCCAGCCTGACTCTCTTCCAGGGCAAGGCATATCAAGCTATGCCAATGATCCCCCGAAAGCTGGCGATTCCCTAAGGGAGTGCCTGAATAAAGCCCTGAAGGTCATTCCTG